ATTAAACGAATTCTGGAAATTATTTGAATTAGTTTACGGAGATCGAGATACATTCGAAATAAGAATATTTGAAATGTTCATGGAAACCAATTAATTTTAACGAAGTTCCTTCAAGTTAGCAAAGCAAAATATTATAACAAAAAAAAAACAATATGAAAAAAATAATTATCTGAGCTATGTAAAGAAAGAAGTTTGTTCGTCTGCGTTCGCTGCATTCCAATTAATAAGGATTTTCGTTTATGCAGTTTTCCCGGCAGTTGAAATGAAATAAAACAGAGGAAACTGTTTCGGATCGTGTTACGCTCGGAGGAACACGTTGGCCGTGTGTAAATTGTGTGTCGCCGGCGATATAAAAAAAGGAACATAGGCAAGGACCATCAAACAGGTGTCATAAAGCAAATACGTGCCAAATGGCCTCTCGAAGGATCCTCCCCCGCATTTATTGAGAGGACGACGATCTAGATCGAGCACACAAAACACGTCCCTCCACCCATCGATGAGAGCAAGAAGAAGACACAGCAAAGAGAGAGAGAGAGGACAAAAACTGAAATACAGGGTATATTCTGCTCCTTCGATTGTAGTTGTCCGGGGGTTAAAGGGGACACATAAATAAATAAATCAAAAGTTAAACCCTCCTCCCCTCCGACAAAGAAAAATATATAGAGAGAGAGAAGTAAGGGAGGAGAAATGCGAGAAATAAATAAAAATAACGTTGAAGCACACACTCAATAACGGCCGCAGCGCCACATGTTTTTTTAATATTTGGTCTCATATCGAGGGAGGACGACGGTCAGGACAATTCCACCAACTGAATAATGCAAAAATCTGGCATTTTCTTTTCCCTAAAAACCTCAGCTAAATAAATTAAACGCGAGGGAAATTTTAATCGTTCCGGGATCATCCCTAATCCCTCAAAAAAAAGCAGCGAAAAAATAAACGCTCTCCGCACAGCGATGCATAGGATTCTCAAAGGACCTGGGAAGATTTAATCGACCGCAAAACTGAAAAATCCCCACATACGTGACCGGAGTCATGCATATGAAACAACACACGTTTCCATTACGTCCTTCTAAATAATTAAATTTTCCTGTCCTGCGGTGGACCTAGATATAATGCATCGCATTATCGATTAATCACGTATCTTGTCTGTGTCGGCAGGTTGAAGTGAACACGCGGCGCACAAGGAATGGGATTTCCTTTTTTTTTTCAGGTTTTCCTGCTCGCAAAGTTCGGCCCAGTCGGGAAGAAAATTTATCACTTAGTCAAAAGAGGACGACGGAATATTTGTGTTTCTAGTGTTATTTGTCATGAGACCGGGACTAGGTGTACTCAATCAATTAGCCGAATCTCCAAGGATGTACTTTGAAAGACTGATAATGATAAATACCTCGAGGAAAGAAAACTAAGGACGAAATCCCGACGGGGCGGCCAAGTTTCATCGATGCTAAGTGCATAAAAAAAAGCTTCGGGTGGAAATAATGAAGAAAGCGGGACACGAAATACCGAGCTCCGAACCGCATAAAAGAAACAGTCGATGCAATTAATGAACGTCCTTTTATTAATTGCTGAAAGAAAAAACTGGAAAATCATTTTAATTGAATCGTTCTCATTTTACTGTTTTAAGGTAAACTTTCAAAAATTTATACTTAAATATTAACTTTTATCTTCAATA